GAACACTTGCTATATTTGTATTGGTCTACCACTTGATATTCTTGCATTGGTCTACCACTTGATATTCTTATATTGGTCTAACACTTGGTATACTTGTATAGGTCTAACACTTGATATACTTGTATTGGTCTAACACTTGATATACTTGTATTGGTCTAACACTTGATATAATTATATTGGTCTACCACTTGATATACTTGTATTGGTCTAACACGTGATATACTTGTATTGGTTTAACACTTGTCATACGTGTATTGGTCTACCACTTTGTATTCTTGTATTGGTCTAACAAAGGATATATTTGTATTGGTCAAACACTTGATATACTTATCTTGATCTAACACTTAATATTCTTGTATTAGTTTGACGGAGGATATACCCATATTGGAATGAAAGTGGATATACCTGCATTGTCTATGGCATTATATACTTGCATTGGTTTGACACGGGATATACTTGTATTGGTATGAGACAGAACATACTTCTTTAGGTTTCAGACAGGCTATACTTGTATTGGATTTGACACGGATATACATGTTTTCATTTGACACGGGATATACTTGCATTGGTTTGACACAGGATTTACTTGCATGGGTTTAGGCAGGGTATGCTTGTATTGCTTTGAGACAGGGTATGCTTGTATTGGTTTCACACAGGACATGTTTCCATTGGCTCGATACAGGGTATACGACTTGTCACGTAGACGTTCTGATTGGACGGCACAGTGTCTGACTGAACTTCTTACAGAATACTACAACACTATTAGAACGATCCTTGTGGGGATAACAGATGTAAATTTTGCTCGATAACGCGACTGATCACATCGCCTACAAATAGCATGTGCTACTGTTTCCTACACCATTCATGGAGCCAGAATATAAGGACGATTTCCGTTCTAATTAGGGTTATTTCTCTATTAATGCATATATTATCTGCTTTTTATCTTTGAGCTACTGTAATTAATCAACCTATAATACAAATAATATATCAAACTATTATCGCCACGAAGTAATATAATTCAGATAAAATAAAGCAACAAAACCCTTTCCATATCCATTAGAAATCGATTGTACGATTCTGACTTTAAAATGTCCATGTGTTTATGAATTACTATCAAACAGTAATAATACCAGGTGTTCGCGAAAAAGTGAGCGTATCCTGCCCAACTGGTGGCACCCGTCACAAACACATGCAAAGGCAAGTCAAGTGTTCACCTAAAAAAACCCCAGAACATATGGTACAAGTCAAAATAGGAAATTGCACTGGACCTCATTTTTGTCAAGCAATGATGAGGTGAAGGCTGAGGCTGCTGATGACATATTTTTAAATGTCAAGCATCCTTACCCTTTACCTATTCATTGCTTTTATCAGAATTTTATTACTTCGTGAAGATTATACAGTTGTTATATTTATTTGCACCATAACTGATTGATTATTTTCGTCATGTATCTTATTCAAATAACACTGAATAGCTAGACAGGTAGAAAAGATGTACTAATGTAGTTGGATACGATAGTCAGCATATCTAACTTTGTTTGGTTGGTTTGTTGTTTAACGCCGCACTCAGCAATATTCCAGCTATATGACGGCGGTCTGTAAATAATCGAGTCTGGACCAGACAATCCAGTGATTAATATCATGAGCATCTGGGGATCGATGAAATGCATCAACCAAGTCAGCGAGCCTGACCACCCGATCCCGTTAGTCGCCTTTTACGACAAGCATAGTCGCTTTTTACGGCAAGCATGGGTTGATGAAGACCTATTCTACCCCGGATCTTCACGGGTAGCATATCTAACTAAACTGTCGGGTATAAGAAAGGATACGCCCATGTTTGGTGGTGGCTGACAGTGAAACAAGAATAGGTTATTATTGGATCGTAGGACACCCAAGGGACGCAGTTTCACACAGTTTGATCACGTCTTGTCAATGAGCTGTTGGGGCAACATGGTGAAAATAGGATTAGAACCCACAGTCATAGAATCCTAAGACGCCCAAGGGACGCAATCTCACACAAAGCCGACGCATATGGTTAAATCATTACTCTGCTGGTCGTGGGTTCGAATCCCAGATCCTACCCTGTTATTTTTACTCTGCCAGCATCATAAACTGCCGGGCAAAAGAAAATATACACCCATGTTTGAGGGTTGTTAAAATGAAACTGAGAAGAAATGGTTATTCAATTGTGATGTATTTGAAATGTGTATCACAGTTGTGTTTTGTACCCCAAGTTTGCAGCGTTTCGGCGACTGCTCTCAGTCTAATAACGTTTGGATACTGTTTGTACTTTTCAAAGACCGCCTCCGTGGTCTAGTGGTAGATCGTCCGCCCGGAGAGCGGAAGGTTCGGGGTTCGATCCCCGGCCGCGTCATACCAAAACACGTTAAAAGATGGTACTTGTTGTTACCCTGTCTGGCGCTCGGCATTAAGGGTCTAAAACAAGGACTGGTCGGCTCGGAGTCAGTATACTGTGTCTGAGTGGGGTATTCATGTTAAACTGCGGTATGGTATCTCAGTGGGCTAGCACTATAAATCGGCATCAGTCCGGACTAGTACAAGCAGCCACACAAACACACACACGTGCATGCACGTCGCTATATAAGTGCAATAATCTTGGACGCGACGTTAAACCCTCACCTCACCTTGTACTTTTCAAATGTGTTCTTTTTGCCCGACCGTTTTCTTGGCTTACGTATAAGTAAACCAACTCACTTACTAGTATAGGTCACCTGACTTCTGCACCTTGAAGTGAGTGAGTATGGTTTTACGCCGCTTTTAGCAACATTCCAGCAATATGACGGTGGGGAACACCAGAAATGGGCTTTACACATTGTACCCATTTCGGGAATCGAACCTGGGTCTTCGGCGCTAGGCTACCCCCTCTGCACCTTAAAGTTCGTATATATACGTAATAGTTTTATTATAACTCGACTTACAGTACATAGCTAACATAAGTCTCAGCAGCATGCTGCGCTCAAGGTGTTCCGTAACTTATACATCCATGTTTAATGGTGGCTAAATATGTCGCAAACAAAAAAGGGTTATTCGATGGTGATGTATTTCAGATGGGTATCTTATTTGCGTTTTGGACCTTACATTTGTTGTGTTTCGGCGACTGTTTTCGGCCTAGTAATGATTTGATAACTTTTGGCAATTTTTGGTCAAATCCAATTTTCAAGTGTATTATTTCTTTTAACCGGCAGTTTATGTCACAGCGGCCTGTAAATAATTGAATCTGTGGCGTGTTAAACCAGTGATTGACAGCATGAACAACGATACACACCGCCAGGTTAGATGAGTGAGTGAGCAACATTGCACCAATATCACGGCGGGGGACACCAGAAATGGGCTTCACACAATGTACCCATGCGGGGAATCGAACCCAGTTCTTCGGCTCTGCGAGCTAACGCTTCAACCACTAGGCTTCCCCACGCCCCACGGGAATAGATGAAGACAACTAGCCCTATATACTATAACAACCCGATCCTATTCTCTTCGACTCATGCGATAAGCATGGGCTGCAAGGTACTTACTCTCCCCTTTCTGTTTCAAGATATGGTGAAAATAACATTGGGGACTCCGGAAAAGAATAGTTGGTCATAATTCCATGTTTGTCAAAGAGAGACTAAATGGGATTGGGTGATCAGGCCCGGCTTGGGTCGCTGCTCATGTTATCAACCACTTGGTTGCCTGGGTCAGACTCGCATGATGGAGCCTGATCGTGGCTACGTTGGTGACTCCCATATGAATCTCGCTGGTCTGCCTGTCCTAGAACAAATGAACCAATCCTTTTAATGATTGATGAATTAAGGGCCATGCTAGGTCAAGTGTTGTTTACGAAAAGTGATAAATGATAAACAAGCCGTGTTTAAAAACCTGACTTGATTTACGAACAGGTGAAAATGGTAAACACTGCTTTTCACCTCAAAGGTAATTTATATGACATCGAAAACAACGCTTGCACATACTGACACTGTTCGAATGTCTGATATTTATCTTCTATTTCTATTGCCTTATGACATGCGTCCAAAAGAGAACAATATTTTTATGCCTTTTTGAACGTTACGTATTCTGTTTCAAACCAGACATGTTTCTACGATTAAAGTTGTTTTGCATCCATGAAAGGTCGTTTTACAATGTAAATACTGACACGACCTTGTCATAAAAAATAACATGTTTACATATGTGTATTAAGTGAAAACAAAATGTGTCAAACAAGCATTCGATTTTTGACATAAACAATGTGTCATATTATATGACTTCAAGAAATATTTTAAAACATTTTTTCGTAAAATGTAATCAGTGTTTTCTAGCTTATTCCTTGATCAATACAAGTATGTATGATCTGTTTTCAAGCTGTGCCCGTGTAATTAATTTACTTACCAATGACATTTTGCAGTGCTCGAATGTTGTCAATATCACGTAATAAGCGAACCCCTCGTTATACAGCACATCGTATAGAGAGGACGACAGTGGACAGATACGGCCACATATTATTGATCATAGTTGTAGTCACCTTCAGTCTAGTCAACGGTATTCTGTCGCTCTAAGAAAACACCATTTGACTATCAAAGGAAATGAATGCTTAAGGCAAGAACCAATCAGAATCGATTTGGGATTGTGTTGCCCGGCAACCGATCTCTATTTCAATCAAGTCTCCCCGTGGGTCAATCATTCGAGAGGACATCCTGTTGCTGATCAGGTCGTTTCGCGTGGTCACTTGTCAACAGATAGGAATATACAAAGCAGGTAGGCGACGTCTTGTTTATTTAATGCTATTGGCATCGTGCAGCACGCGACAGGGGAAGTGATATTGACATACATCGATGCAATTGACATGCAATATGCAACGGTATTTTTTTTGCATTTAACACCGTCGCTGTGTATAATGATATGTCGCTATTTAAAAGCTGTTTCATATCGTTATGTTTATATTCCGTGCTTTCTCTGTGTTACCAGTGCTTGTTCGTCGTGCTACCTGCAGAGATAAGATTGTGGCTGACAGCTGTCACATCGTATTTTGAAATTGACATTGAAAAGGACGGGCTAATTAACCTAGTGCGTATATGGCTCCAGATGGGACCGTTAAACACGAAAAGCCTGCTGAATTTTTGTACATAACGCACATGCAGTTAAAGTAAGTGCTGATAATGTTAAAATTTTATGTTCAACAATTTGTTTATTCAACGTGTATTGTTTACTACGCGTGACAGCAAAAGGTCACCATAGGTCAATGCAGACGTTGGTATGTACGTCACATATCAAATGTATTTTGTCCACTGTCTATACCTTGTGTGATACGTTGTGATGCTTGATACAAATTATCCATCTATTCCATACCGCGTGCACCTGTGCTCTGACACCACTAGGTTGATTTACCTGTTAAAAGAAATGTGACTGTTAAGTTTTAATTTTGAACCAATTCATATGCGATGAAGATCATGTTGACCACGGATTTCATCTTTTTAATTCTTTAATGCGATGTCAGATACATGTCCTCTTGCATGTGCTTATCAATAAGTGTATATATACAAGGCACTAGCATCTGTACCTAACGCTAACGACACAAACACCTGTATCGAATGCTAACGGTGCCGGCATCTGTACCGCATGCTAACGGTGCTGGCACTTGTACCGCATGCTGACGGTGCTGACACCTGTACCGCATGCTAACGGTGCTGGCATCTGTACCGCATGCTAACGGCGCTGGCGTCTATACCGCATGCTAACGGTGCTGGCACTTGTAACGCATGCTAACGGTGCTGGCATCTGTACCGCATGCTAACGGTGCTGGTACTTGTACCGCATGCTAACGGTGCCAACACTTGTACCGCATGCTAACGGTGCTGGCATCTGTACCGCATGCTAACGGTGCTGGCACTTGTACCGCATGCTAACGGTGCTGGCATCTGTACCGCATGCTAACGGTGCTAGCACTTGTACCGCATGCTAACGGTGCTGGCACTTGTACCGCATGCTAACGGTGCTGGCATCTGTACCGCATGCTAACGGCGCTGGCGTCTGTACCGCATGCTTACGGTGCTGGCACTTGTACCGCATGCCAACAGTGCTGGCATCTGTACCGCATGCTAACGGTGCTGGCACTTGTACGGCATGCTAACGGTGCTGGCATCTGTACCGCATGCTAACGGTGCTGGCATTTGTACCGCATGCTAACGGTACTGGCATCTGTACCGCATGCTAACGGTGCTGGCATCTGTACCGCATGCTAACGGCGCTGGCGTCTTTACCGCATGCTAACGGTGCTAGCACTTGTACCGCATGCTAACGGTGCTGGCATCTGTACCGCATGCTAACGGTGCTGGCACTTGTACCGCATGCTTACGGTGCTGGCATCTGTACCGCATGCTAACGGTGCTGGCATCTGTACCGCATGCTAACGGTGCTGGCATCTGTACCGCATGCTAACGGTGCTGGCATCTGTACCGCATGCTAACGGTGCTGGCATCTGTACCGCATGCTAACGGTGCTGGCACTTGTACCGCATGCTAACGGTGCTAGCACTTGTACCGCATGCTTACGGTGCTGGCATCTGTACCGCATGCTAACGGTGCTGGCATCTGTACCGCATGCTAACGGTGCTGGCATCTGTACCGCATGCTAACGGTGCTGGCATCTGTACCGAATGCTAACGGTGCTGGCATCCGTTCCGCATGCTAACAGTGCTGGCATCCGTATCGAATGCTAACGGTGCCGGCATCTGTACCGCATGCTAACGGTGCTGGCACTTGTACCGCATGCTAACGGTGCTAGCACTTGTACGGCATGCTAACTATGCTGGCATCTGTACCGCATGCTAACAGTACTTGCACCTGTACCTTGTGCGATATACCAGCACTTACAGATACGTGCCTTGTGTGTGTTCGATATATCAGCATGTACAGCCAAGTGCCTTGTGTGTGTTCGATATATCAGCATGTACAGCCAAGTGCCTTGTGTGTGTTCGATATATCAGCATGTACAGCCACGTGCCTTGTGTGTGTTCGATATATTAGCATGTACAGCCACGTGCCTTGTGTGTGTTCGATATATCAGCATGCACAGCCACGTGCCTTGTGTGTGTTCGATATATCAGCATGTATATCCACGTGCCTTGTGTGTGTTCGATATATCAGCATGTACAGCCACGTGCCTTGTGTGTGTGTTCAATATCAGCACTTACAGTCACGTGGATTGTGTGTGTTCGATATATCAGCACTTACAGCCACGTGCCTTGTGTATGTTCGATATATCAGCACTTACGGGCACGTGCTTTGTGGATGGTTTCGATATATCAGCACTTACAGCCACGTGCCTTTTGTGTGTTTATATAACAGCACTTACAACCACGTGCCTCGTGTGTTCGATATATCAGCACTTACAACCACGTGCCTTGTGTATGTTTGATATAACAGAACTTACAACCACGTGCCTCTTGTGTTCGATATATCAGCACTTACAGCCACGTGCCTTGTGTGTGTTCGATATATCAGCACTTACGGCCACGTGCCTTGTGTGTGTTCGATATAACAGCACTTACAACCACGTGCCTCGTGTGTTCGATATATCAGCACTTACAGCCACGTGCCTTGTGTGTGTTTTCGTTTCTCAGCATCTATAGCCACGTCCCTTGATTATGTTCGATATATCAGCACCAACAGCCTCGTGTCTTCTATATGTTTGATATACCAGCACCAACAGCCACGTGACTTATGTATGTTCGACATATCAGCACCAATAGCCTCGTGACTTATGTATGTTCGACATATCAGCACCAATAGCTTCGTGCTTGTGTATGCTCGACATAACAGCACCAACAGCCACATGACTTATGTATGTTCGACATATCAGCACCAATAGCTTCGTGCTTGTGTATGCTCGACATAACATCACCAACAGCCACCTGCCTTATGTATGTTCGACACATCAGCACCAATAATCTCGTGCTTATATATGTTCGACATAACAGCACCAACAGCCACCTGCCTTATGTATGTTCTACATACTCGATACAGCAAGGCTAAGTAACAATTGTTATACCATTGAATTATGAATTCCTCAGTCATATTGTAATATTGTAACATTGTAACATTGTAACATTGTACAACTAAACCAGTCTACGTGACGACCATTTCGCGTATCGACTATTTGCACCGTTTTAGCGATAGTCTTCCAATACATACCTACGTATCATGACGACAGAGCACAGCTAAGTGATGTAATCGTCTAGTATTGGACAGGGACGTTGGACCATGATACAAATGTAGGACCCATTTCGCAAAGAATATTTAGCTGGTCCTTTGGGAATAAATTCTAGTTGAATTAAACGCTCAACTGTTCGTGAATGGACAATACACTTATAGGCCAGAGCTGTTCAACAAAGCGATCTCGGAGCTGCGATTGCCGTAAGTCTATGTTTAAGTATGGGAGTTACGATCGACCGAGCGCTAAGACCGCTTTGTGGAACGGGGCCCAGCTCACCATGATGCTTCACGAATCTTACACGTGAAACTTTAGGGTAAACTAATTATCATAGTGTAACTATACCACCACGGGGTACTCTAACACATCACACATTGCCCTCAAGCATGGACCCAAACCGGGTCTCTAGGGTGACGAGGCGTCACTTTAACCACTTGACTACCCTACCGCTTCATTCACACTATCAACAACAGCACGAAGCACTGTACTCGCGTGATGTTTATATCGGAATATGGTAACAAGATTCTAACGCCGCTGTAACAGTTTAACACAGAGAGCTTGCTTATAACAAAGGTCATGATGACATAGAAACAATAGTCCTAGCTGTTTGGGATCTGTTTCAGCGGATAATTGAGACTGGGTATTCTCTGTCGTTGACGTTTTATATTTAATCCTTGCCCAGGTGTCAACAACCAAAAAATATGTTTTGTCTTCTCGACTTACGAATACCCCCCTCTAGTTATTCGATGCATTATCGACTCACCATTATGTACGCCCTTGTTAAATGCTCTGAAATCTCACCAATAAATCATTTCAGTTTTAGCAGGGCCCCTTAAAATGAATATGGAGGTAGAGGATTCATTGTCTTGGTGCATATTGCTTCAACAACCGTACTGTCAACCGTCGGCTGTTGTAAAGTAAACACAATGTTAAAATTCCATTAACCGAGAAGACCTGGGCTTGATCAAGTCTTGAGGGACTGTTCTTGCATCCCTTCAAAATGTCATGCAGGCACGACCAGACTCCAACTCCTGCAGATCGCTCTCACCGGGAGAAATGTGTCATCACTCTCGGTGTGATTAATGAGGGCGAGACTGAGATTGGGAAGGGTGGCTGAGACTGGTTGATGGCTGGAGACAAGGCTGAGAATTACGAGGCATGGTTACGCGGTGCTTGATTGTTGGCATTTCTACAACTGAAGGCGATTAACTAAAGACCGTTTCGACCTCCTGCAACGTTTGGCTTTTAATGTGGAACAGCCAGGGCGCAGGTCGCTGTGTGTGTTGTGCGTGTGTGTGTCAATAACAATTACAGTGTTTTGTGGAGGGGCATAAAAATGACAGTTATTTTACTGTAAATTATAATAAAATCCGTGTGATATTCATAAGTTCCTTTGTTCAAGCCTACATTGCTACCTTTCAGCATCTCCCTATGATGATTGAGTGTCGGAACGCTATCAGGCTGATGTCTTGTTTTTCACACAATATTGGTCCCAAAACCGTTCAAAAACATTCTTCTATTTTACATGCATGAAGGAAAAACAACACACGTTTGTATAGGGTAATAAAGTACAGTAGGAACGTCAATCTATCCCACGTGAACATTTTTTTTACCCGAAATGAAAACCGTTAGTTGTTATTTATCATCACCATGTGTACATTTCGTGAATTATAAATATATATTTTCTTTTGTTTGTCGTATGGATAACGGTTCGCCACTCTTCCTACGTGCATCATACAGTGGATCTCGACAGGTGTTCGTCCAACGTTATATCAATACATATCACTCTATTTGAGAATAAAAGGTGTGATTGATCAAGCCACCGATACCAGGTAGTTTGTCCCGCGTGCGAGGCAGTGGCAACAGCTGGTTACGTTATCGGGCGTCGCACATGTCAGATCCGCGGTTTTAACAGTACAAATCTACATGATTGGAAATGTCAAGGGCGCTGCTGTTTATCAAAAGTATATTGTTTTTGTCAATTCAGCATTTTAATTTATTAAGCTTATACAGGCTGTATACTTATTGGTTTTCCAATTGTATAAATATTCAGTTAATTCCGATTTTAAGTTGTATATAATACACCCATGCTAATGTCACCCCCTAAATATAATGCTTGTTAGTAAAGGGGTGACTATAATTAGTATGAGTATATATATGTAACTATGATTATTGTTATTAAACATTTGTATTACCCTGGAAGGAAATGCAGTTACCACGCATCGTCCCTGTTTTTGTATGCGTTGTCATTTGCTTTCAAGTTGTTGTTTTTTCTGTTTGTTTGTTTGTTGTTTACGCTGCACTCAGCAACATCCCAGCTATATGACCGTGGCCTTTAAATGATGGAGTCGATATCATGAGCAACGACCCACGCTGTTGGGGGCCGTTGGCACCGAGTCAACGCGCCTGACCACGCGTTTAATTAAATAGCTCCTTACGACAAGAATAGGTTGCTGGGGACCAATTCCAACCCGGAAACCCTATGGGTAGAGTGAATGTTATTTTACGCCACATAAAGCACTATTTCAGCTAGTTCATAGCGGACTAAATAATCGAGATTTTTTCAGACTAACCTCGTTGTCGGAGTACGATGCAGCTAAATAAACACGGTCTCACATCGTGTCCACCCGATCCCCATTCTTGTCGATTCCTCCGACAAGGTTGAGATACTGATTCTACCTCTGAAAACCAAGGGGAGTAGTGTCTGATGGCACCCGTGAAGATCCGGGTTAGAATTGGTCTTTAGCAACCCATGCTTGTCTATCCCCGTGAAGATCCGGGTTAGAATTGGTCTTCAACAACCCATGCTTGTCTACCCCCGTGAAGATCCGGGTTAGAATTGGTCTTCAGCAACCCATGTTTGTCTATCCCCGTGAAGATCCGGGTTAGAATTGGTCTTCAACAACCCATGCTTGTCTATTCCCGTGAAGATCCGGGTTAGAATTGGTCTTCAACAACCCATGCTTGTCTACCCCCGTGAAGATCCGGGTTAGAATTGGTCTTCAACAACCCATGTTTGTCTATCCCCGTGAAGATCCGGGGTAGAATTGGTCTTCAACAACCCATGCTTGCCGTAAAAGGCGACTATGCTTGTCGTAAGAGGCGACTAACGGGATCGGGTGGTCAGGTTCGCTGTCTTGGTTGATGCATGTCATCGTATCCCAATTGCGTAGATCAATGCCCTTGATGTCAATCACTGGAGTGTCTGGCCCAGACCGCCTTCCCGAGCCAAGGGCGTTAACTGACTATAAAACTTCAGGATCCACCCTTGCAGAACTAGGCTGGAATTCCAGAGTATTCTATGCATAGTTCAACCAGAATCGCGTAACGAACTACACATGCGGTTCGGAAACAACATGGATTTCAACGTCCTGATTTCGGTCGACTGCGGGTTTTGCAAAATATGTGTACCGTCAACTGAATGTCGACAGATATTTTGCAAATCTTTTCATTATTTCAATCAAGGTGCTCAAGTGATTTGATGCACTTCGCGGGGTAAACCCATTTTATTAGAATATAGATCTTGATTTTTTATCAGATCGTCTTGACTGGGCGCCGCCATTGTGTTTGAAGCTAATGCAAGTGATATGAGAGGTGGAATCTGATTGGTCGACAGGAAAGACATAGAAAGGACATAACTCGTGATAGCCACTGATGGTCCTACGATCGTGTCCAGAAATTCCAGCCCAGTTCGGCAAGGTTGGAAAATGGACTTTTATAGTCAGTAAACACCCTTGCTTCGGGAAGATGGGTCCAGACTCGATTATTTACCGCAGTCATATGGCTGTAATATTGCTGAGTGCGGCGTTAAACAACAAACAAACAAACAAACAAACAAATAAAGTTGTGTGGAATGTAGCTCAAGCTAGCTCCTGATTCTGGCTTGATTAAATGTTCATGTCACGATAACATCGATGATCGATTATCCTTACTGATACTACTTGACGAAAACACAACAACAGACATGTCCTCACAGTATAATATTTATATACTAGATTTATACATACAGCGCGTAGGGACCTTTACGAAACGATTACAAGTAATCCAGACTTTCTAAAACAGAAAGGAATATGCGAAAATGGATTCTTAATGTATAATCCGTCACACCTTGACGGTAGATTAAATACCCACAAGACCCGTGAAGATCCGGAGTAGAATCTGTCTTCAGCAATCCATGCTTGCCTTAAAAGGCGACTGGGCTTGTCGTAAGAGGCGACTAACGGGATCGGGTGGTCAGGCTCGCTGACTTGGTTGATACATGTCATCGTATCGCAATTGCGTGGGTCGATGCTCATGATGTCAATAACTGGATTGTCTTGTCCAGACTCGATTATTTACAGTCGTCATATACCTGGAATATTGCTGAGTGCGGCGTTAAACAGCAAACAAACAAACAAAACATACCCATACGGCAAACACGTAAACCACTAACTGCGATTATTCAAATGTCAGTCGGAGTGATCGCGTTACTAAACGTTAATATCATTTGTCATTCATACCTGACAGCAGATTATTTTTCCAGCTTAGTTTGTAATTCGATCTGAACATTCCTATCGATTTTTGGAAAGTTCATACATCCATATTGTATGGTGTTAAAAAATCGCTCACACAGCCACACAACCCACACAGTAGATCAAGGAGCCTTTTGCAAAACTTCAGTTGGTGTGCATTTCATTCATGACATATTCGAGACTTAAAAGGTGATATATGAAGCATGTGCCTGTCATCCGTGGCAGCAGGTAAAACACACAATTTCGCTATATCATGTTCCTATCTAGTTGTTTCCTTATCTATCGGGTCTGTTATTCAGTACCTTCATCTTTTTGTCACCTATATTAAAGTCGTGTTTGTTTCTTGTCACCTGAGTCCTTGTTTATGAAGGAAAATGCCCCCTCTGTATTTGTCGAGGATATTTAAGAAGGGTGAGATGAGGTGAGGTGAAATGGGGTTTAACATCGCGTCCGAGATTATTGCACTTATATAGTGACGTGCATGCACGTGTGTGTGTGTGTGTGTGTGTGTGTGTGTGGCTGCTTGTATGTAAGTCCGCGCTGATGCCGATTTATAGTGCTAGCTCACTGAGATACCATGCAGCATCTTAACATGAATACCCCACTTGGACACAGTTTTCTGACTCCGAGCCGACCAGTCCTTGTTTTAGCCCCTTAATTTCGAGCGCCAGAATGGGTTACAACAAGTACCACCTTTTAACGTCTTTTGGTATAACGCGGCTGGGGATCGAACCCCGGACCTTCCACTCTCCGGGCGGACGCTCTACCACTAGACCACGGAGGCGGTCTATTCAAGAAGGGAAACCTATCTGTCATATTTTTGTTCGACTTGTAATTTCTCCACTTTTATGCCCCAAACAACTATTGAGATTAAGATTCATAATGTGATTATTGTCGTGTTGTAAACAAAATCTTAATGGATAACTGACAAACTTTTTTTCTTCAAATTTTTGCATTTTTTCAAATGTTTGCATTATTTATTTTCTTCTGTGTCATAATCTTTCTGTAATATGTTTCACGTTGTGATAGCCGACACCTCAGTTGCCATGGTGATGACTTTCCGATAATTTCCCCCGAATCGATCGCTAGGTTGGACGTGACAATAATCAATACCAATTATTAGCCCGGGGCTGTTGTAATTGGACTGTCTTGTAAACAGACAAGGAAAATGTCAACCGAGCAGGCTGGTATTTATTTCATGAAATAGACATACGTCTTCTATTGTAGATTTCACTACCTGTTGCCTGAGACTGCGTAGAAGCCCTTGCAGGATCTTGCAACAGACGAGTCATTCAGTGTGGATTTCAATTTAAGGAATAAAATACACCATACCAAGACGTCGGAATTAAATGTACCTTTACGATATCCGTGTAATGGCGACAGTATGTGATCTTTGGCATTGTAGCTCACCTTTAAATATACGGATAAGCTCTTGAAAAAGTCTGTTTTACGTGTTTGTTATGCATACACATAATTAAATATATTTCACGTATGGTTTGATTCAGGTTGGAGATGTTTGCAAGAGAAATATATTTAGGTCCAAGATGTTGTGTCAGTATCTTTCAAACTGATGAGACCGCCTCCGTGGTCTAGTGGTAGAGAAATGGGCTCCACACATTGTACCCATTTTGGGAATCGAACCCGGGTCTTCGGCGTGACGAGCGAACGCTTTAACCGCTAGGCTACCCGACCGCCCCTTGATTAGTTGATGAGCTTCCATTTGAGTATACTTTTAAGTTCTCCAACTCCACTCTGTCCCTGACTTCTATCATGTGAAAACACGACACATCCCCTTTTTGTTTAAATATATTGAACTTAGAAGCGTATATTACTCCACTGAACCAAATTCATTAGTCAATCTAAATGATGCTCCCGAACGAGTATACAATGCCAAGTTCTCGACGGGAAAATTATATACAACCTAATGCCTCCCCGGGGGCTTAGGTAAGGCAGTGTATTATGAATGTATGACTGCAGCTCCGTACAAGGCTTAGTTGAAAACTAGTCATTTTTAGGGTTAGTAAGGAAGTCAGACTCGCCCTGATTGAGCACATGTTATCAAGGCCTACTCTATGAGCAGCGGCATCCCAGATTATGTTCTTTTGCCAATATCTCGCTGGTGATGCCGCTGTAATTGCGAAGTGATTAACTTACTCTCATAAATATCCCTTTTCTTTCAGAGGCTGAGTGTAGCCCATGTTGTTATGACCGTGCGGCCAGATAACATCATTGCACTAGCGGTGTTCCATAGAATCACGATGACCTACGGTGAATACTAATCAATAAAGGACAACGGTGAACATCTTCTGTTGACGTCTTCAACACAATACGTATATCATGTTTGCTAAGGTAAGTGAAAAAAAGCAGCATCTTTTGACCTAGATTATCTCTCAGTTTGGAAGAAAGTATAAACAATATATTATATGATAAAAGATTCAGTGCCCTTTGTCTATTTGTCTGAACGAGTAATTTTGCCATTAGCTTTTAGCTACTTTATAGAATTGTTCATTTCATAATATACTGATGACCGACATTTAAATCTGATTTTTATATAATTCTTGAATGAATATAACATATACCACGTGAAGACATATGTGCATGCGTAACAGTGAAGTATACCTAACAATGTATATCCAGTGGAACCCTTTAAATAATTTGGAGACTCTATTCTTCACACTGAAGGGAACGTCGATATACAATTTAAGTCCACAGTAGCAACGGATGATCCATTAACAAAGAATGTTGTTAATTCGGACGATTATCCTGAGAACGAGGCTTTTCAGTTTAAAGGGGTTTCACTGTATATAAGCTACTGTACGTCTTGGCAATAGATTAATGTTCATTATTACCTGGTTTTAGATGTTCGAAGCAAATCGTTCGTAATTCTCGTGTTGTTACAAAAATCTATAGTTTTCGTGTTACGGGATGTAGTGTCGACCGGCATATATTGTCACCGTCGTTTTATGTCGCCAGGTATATATTCTCGCAGGCGAATCTCGAAATATCGCGATCATTAAACAACAAAGATATCTGCATGTGTTAATACTTATAAATTGAAAACGAGCAATTCCGCTGATAAGGAATATTACTTATAAGAATGATAAAAAAAAATGCAAAGTGCGCTTGTCAATTGTCACCTTTCTTAGGGACAAACATCATAAGTGAGTTTGGATCGGTATTCGGGTGACTGCAAGAGATTACATTCAGCAGCATCGAGCGTACATTACCAACACGAACCGCTAAATATAACCGCTCGCAGTCCCCTGATTCTAGCTCGAGTTGAAACCACGTGATCAAAACTCAATGACATTCTTGACATTCATGAAAAGCACACTTTACAACGTTTTTCATTGCTGTAAGTAATATTCCTTAAAGGCGGAGTGGCTTGTTTTCACTATATAAGTATTAATACACATGCAGCTATCTTTGTTAATTACTTGTCGCGATATTTCGTGATTCTATTTAAAAGTGGTGATTCTATTTCAAGTTTAAAGCAATGGCAAGCATGGTTAAGCAGGGTAAAGCAATGTCAAGAAGTGTCAAGCAGTGTAAATATGAGTAAACCAGGGTAAAGCAGGGTAAATCAGGGTAAAGCAGTGTTAAACAGTCACTGTGTAAATCTGAGTAAATTAGTGTAAACCACTGTCAAAAAGGGTAAAGCAGTGTTAAACAGTGTAAATCTGAGTAAATTAGGCTTAACCAGTGTCAAAACGGCTAAAGCAGGGTAAAGCATTGTTAAGCATTATGTCAGGGTAAACCAGTGTCAAAGTGGGAAAAGCAGTGTAAAGCAATATAAATCTGAGTAAACGAGGGTAAAGCTGTGTCAAAACGGGCAAAGCAGTGTAAGGCAGTGTTAATCTGGGTAAATCAGGGTAAACCAGTGTCAAAATGGGTAAATCAGGGTAAATCAGGATAAAACAGGGTAAAGCTGAGGAATCTTGATTATGTTTTAAAATTGTACCAGTTTACCTTTCGTGACTCTCAACAGAAACTATGGTCATGTATATCTGAATGAGATAGAGTTCCATAGTCCTGCGGATGTGCAGACGAATACCTACGACAGTCAGTGTTAATAGCACACATTTATTTCATTAATCCAGCATGAATTTGATTCAGGCTATCAAATTAGTTCACGACCTGACAGAACGGAGTGTTTGTTGACGCAAATTGCTTTTATTGAAGTTCACGACAGGTAGATTCGGTAGATATACACTGTTAAATGTCACACTGTTAGAAAATGTTGTTTTATTTTCCCCATTATAATCCCATGACGTCAGCGTTGCCATGGAAGCAAAGATGCTCACACGTCAGTTGCTAGGCGAGATAATCCGACGAGCGCGAGGTACGGAATAGCAGAGTGGATGTGCTGAAAAGACAATCAAATCGTCCCGACCTTTACCAGTGTCTTTGAAACCGTATTCAGTATTGCTTCTGACATTGTGACATTTAAACATTGCTCTTTGACAAGGTGTTTTTTTCCTGATATATACACGATAGTAATCTGGAGTTTTAGTTTTTGTAAACATGATTAAGACATCCTTGTATCACAACAGTCTCAGCTGATAGACGTGTCTTTCATACATCTTCGCAAAGAGTTCATTTAAAAACTAATCTTTAAAAAACATGTTTGCAAGATTCGTCTCATAACTTTTTTTCTGATTCCAAGGCTTCAGTTGGTAAGACATGACCCTCATCGGTGTAAGAGATCCACATTCGGAAATGTAATCATTCAAATATGAAAACTTATTCAGACCTCTCCAACTCAAGTTTATACAACGGCTTGTATTGTTTTTCTATATAATTTATAATAATAATTTATATAATTTATATTTGCCTAGATTTATTGAAGATCACATTAGTTTTAATAAATCAAAATACCATATAAATCGAGGAAATCTGAATGTAAACCGGACATTCTTGAACATCAACCGGCGTTTGAACCAGAGACTCGTTCTGTGATGACAACCGAGATACTGTAACTGACGTCATTCATGACATTCTGAATGTTCAGAGCTTAGGATGGCCAATCAGGGTCAAAGTCCTGTAACTGCACGCTATGTCGGCAGTCTGTCAGAGAGGAAATTAACTTGATACAGACAGATCTCTAACAATTACCTGGGAAAGCGTTTGATGTCTCGCGCGATCATTTGTTCGGAAGGTTACAGTGAGAGCGCAGGTACCGATTGAGGGACACCCGATTTGGGCTTCATACCCAGGGAATTGAACCCGGGTCTTCGGCGTGACCTGCCAACGCTTTAACAAAACCACTGGGCTACACCGCCATCCCAATAGTTGATATAGTGCAGTGAAGTTTCAAACCCGCAAACCTGCAAATATCAATACTAACCGACCATTTTATGTTTAGGTGTGTTTTCAGTTGAACACGAGCAATCCTTGGTAAAACTTTCGCCCATAACCTCTGCCTTGTTTTTTTGTTTTTTTAAAGAGGCATAACCTGGATAGAATTATTACAAAAAATATTATGTAGGGTTAGGATTAGGTTGCCCTGACCCTGGCAAAACTTGAAGCAGGGGTTACGGGCGGAAATCTTTCCCAATTCATTTCCTCTCAGGAGCTTCAGATATTTTTTTCTTAAGAGTATCGACATTTATTTAGAGGCTCAATGGACTATTATTTCTTTTGAAGCATCATGTTTTTAATTTTTCAGCAATTTATAGGTAGGATTAAATGTTTTTGAAAGTTGAATTTGCAGCTGTTTGAGGATGTACATTTCATGTTCAATTTAGTTTGTTTGTTGTTTAACGCCGCACTCAGCAATATTCTAGCTATATGACGGCGGTCTGTAAATGATCGAGTCTAAACCAGACAATCCAGTGATTGACATCATGAGCATCGATCCATGCTTTTGGGATACGATTACATGCATCAACCAAGTCAGCGGGTCTAACGACCCGATCCCGTTAGTCGCCTCTTCCGACAAGCATAGTCGCCTTCTACGGCAAGCATAGTCGCCTTTTACGGCAAGCATAGTCGCCTCTTACGGCAAGCATAGTCGCCTCTTACGGCAAGCATGGGAATCTCGGCCACATCCATTGCGTGTATCAGCGACTATGACATGGCAATTGTGACCTTGTTAAACTATGTGTAGACTATCAGTCATTACAGATATCATTCTAGTCTGGTAGCCTTGATATTAGAAACGTTTCGACTGACTTCCTTACTACGAGTGTCGCAATCACAGATACACTGGTTAGACTAACGATTCATCAGAAACGTATTTGGTCCCGCATCAGCGATGTTGACATGGCGGTTCTGATAGAATATTGCTAACAACGGCTTAAAAAACATGCTCACTCACTCGCATATCACAGTATCACCTGCACGGGGGAGTTCTCATCGCAAGACATTAGCTCGAGGTCAGTTATTAATGGAGGTATGAGAATGGCGCAGGTTTAACGTTCTTCCAGTCAAAGATCCGCCCCTACTCTGCTTCATCCATTTTTGACGGCAAGAGACTTCCGACAAGCGGTGGCACTCTGTCAGTTGTAGGATATGGTTAGTCATCCCCTTAAAACAAAGACGCGCGTATGGCAATATAAACAGATCTACCACTCCACAGAGTGTCTTCAACAGAATCAAAGAGGCCACGTTAAAATAGGATATAATTCCATCATTTGTTCTGGCTCATGCAATACAGCACTTACCCCCTTTACAAATATGTCAGGCAGCTCAATCTACAATACCAGTGACGTATATTGAGGACCAGGGTTATAACTGTTCGGGACCAATCGTGTTTTGAGACAGATTTTGTTTTGGGGCGTTTCAAGGCTCATTTTCTGTATGTCCTGTGACCGATTTATGTTTTTGGGTAAGAAATGAGGACAAAGTAATTGTGGTTCTAGAAATTTCAAGAACAGAAATACCAGCACCCTTAACCCTATACCCCGAACCGGAAGTCTCCATTTGATTCGTTCTAGGCATGGCTTGGTAAGAAGCCTTCCATCATATTTCTTTGGGGAAATTCCTCAGGACTTCACGGCCTCATCCTACAAAAACGTAAACATATGGTTGTTCTTGTTACCCTGCCTGGCGCTAGACATTCACGTGATAAGACAAGGACTGGTCACGCACGCACACAAACACACATACACACGCACGCATGCACGCACGCACGCACGCACGCACGCACGCCCGCCCGCCCGCACACACACACATTAAATCGTTAACAGAGGCGTTGTGTTGTAATGGAGATTCAGAAATAATTTATTTATATATATATATTATTTTAACGCTCTTTTTACGTAAATATTAACTGGAAGTAAGGTTTTGTACCGATGACAACGGACAATGGCATGACACCACACGCTTTCTTGTAACAAAACCGTTCC